GCCCAACTGCCAGAGAAAGAGGGTCATCGGTGACTGAGACAGGCTGGTGCCAGATAATATGTCAGATCTGGCCTTGGGGGGAAGTTGGCTTTCAGCTCGTCAACGGACTCCCCCCATTTGGAGCTGGGATCCGCCCCCAGCATCGCGGTTAAGTATTGCACAGGGCCCCCGAACGCGTCCAAGATGGCGTCCGTGATGCGCAGTGTCTCTTCAAGGCCAGCTGGCTTTGAAAAATCTGCCCTAGGACCGGCGCTCCTGCAGGCTCTGAGCTGCTTCGAGAGGTTCCTTGCAGGTCGCTTTCATGTCTTCAGGCCTTTCATCTGTCTCTGCCTTGGCTTCCAAGCTGGCTGCCATGATGGCGGGCAAAGCGTAGGCGGCAAAGATGGCGGCGGGTCAAGCTGCTGTGCTGCTTTGATGTGAATGTGAAGCTGGGCTATGCGTGGCTACTGCTGATGCGTGTGTCCTTTCATATGTCATTTGAGCCAAAACTCGTCTGGGGGAGGGGGTGACATTTCCGACCTGCCCCCCAGATCGTCAAGTTTCTGCCGAAACTTGACCATCTCAGGATGGAAACCATGAATCTTGACCAACTGGGGGGGCGGAAATCCTGCCCCCCCCCCCCACATCGTCAAGTTTTGATAACTCACAAGAGGGATCGTCAAGTTTCTGCCGAAACTTGACCATCTGGGGGGCGGAAATGCCCCCAGATCGTCAAGATTTGGACATGACAACATGGGTGTCACTCCTTTTTTTTCTCCCTTGGAGTCGGCGACGTGCTATCACCCAGCGCTCTGGGCAGGCGTCCTCAGAGGCTGCATGCTGGCCCTGCGCAAGCGCCGCAGCTGCCGTCTAGCGGCGGCTTTCCGAGCAGCGTCGTCCGTTTTTTGAGAAGCTTCGACCGGGGTGCGCAAGTTCACCCTGCATTGGTCAAAAGAAACCTTGTGAACTCCGGGCTCTTTTGCTACGGCCTGGACACTTGGTCGCTTCCAAGACCTGGCCCTATGAGGGTGCTCATGGGCAAAGAGCCGTCGCTTGCGGCACTGTCGCTTGGCCACCATCATGGAGTAGTCAAGTAGACAGTTTGCCTCCTCAAATCGCCGCGCTCTGTCTGCGGGATTCATTTTCGCGAGATTGGCGTTTTGCATTGCGTTAAACATCGTGCAGGGGGAAGACAGCATTGCAAACATTGGGTCATGTGCTTCAAGCAAGCTGCATGCCCGGGCGCGATCTTCGAACTGCAGGAAATCGTAGCCCGTGACAATGTCAAAGCTGCACACTGCTAGAAATCTCTCGCGCCGCAAAGGTATGGCGACCCGCGGTGGCGAGAAGAATTCCATGAAGATGTGCTGCCCTGCGCCCTCGTCTTCGATCTCGATGGCCTTTTGCGACCGGTGCTGCGAAGCTGACCTGGCAGCGGAGATATCAGTGACTCAGCATCATGACCGACGCTAGTTACTGCTTCTAAATGTAAATGTGTGACAAGTTTCAAAGCTTGAAGCAAACGCGCGACGCCGAGTGGACACTCTGTCAGTGACTCCAGCTTCGCCTCCGTCGGCTGCGACTTCGTGGCCTATGACTGGACGACGGCGGACAAGCGATGACAACGTCGTTGCTGTGGTCGGCCATGATGCTGGACGGACCAGGATGACTGGGTTCAATTTGAACAGGAGGTATGACAAATGGAAGTGGTGGGTTGGCTTGTCACGGGTGCCTGTCTATGGGCTTCTTCGTGGTGCTATGGTTTGAGCCAAGATGTGGGGGTTGAGCTGCAGCTGTGAAATACAGAGAACTCTTCTAAGCATTGCCAACGCGCATCGCGGAACGAACCGTTGGACGGCAATAGCAAGAGGCGGTCAGAAGTGTGGCCAAATGTAGCCTGCGTCGAATCGGAATCAGTCTAGGCAGGGCAGCGATTCTTTTTCCCGCCCAGCTTTCACCTTGGCTGGCTAGTCGGCGGGCCTCCAGATCCACGCAGTTTCGTCCTGGTTCAGCTGGACGCCGGCCTTTTTTCGACACTGCTGGCAGCCAGACGCGCTGTAACGACACCGGGCGCAGCCGAGAAGCAGCGCCAGCGGGCATTGGCAGGCGCTCCAGATGTCTGCGGGGTGGCCTGGCACCATAAAGCCTGGGCCCGGGCCTTGGCAGACGGCTTGGCTGCAGCTGCCTTACTGGCGGCCTTGGCCTTTGCCTTGCCCTTTGCCTTTGCTCCGGCCGCTGGCCGTGGCGAAGGGTCTGAGCCGGGCACTGCCACTCTCGGCGGAGCGCCGCCTCTGCCGTATAAGCTGCCGGGGCATGGAGCGGCTGGCAAAAGTGGTCCTCCATCCAGTGGACCGGCGGGCGGCGGCAGCTCTGGCGTCGATGGCTCAGCCTCTGGGTGGGACAGAGTCTGGCCCTGCTCTGGAACAGCTGCTGCTTCAGAACTGCTAGCGCCTCTGGCCGCGGCAGTGCTCTTGTCTCCGAGGTAGCTCAGGCCTCAAGCGGCAGTAGCTGGACCTGGCTCCTTGCCTTGGCCATGCCCCCTCAAGGCCAGGCAGCGTGAGCTGGTCCGCATGTGCGACCGCAAGGCGGCCGAGTCGCGTGTCAGGCCACGGTGTTGGCGGTAGGCCTGCTTGGGCGGGGGCGGCGCCTTGGAGTCAGCCTACGCGGCGGCAGTGGCGGGGTTCGCGGGCGCTTCGTACTCGGGCGGGCCCGGCGGTGGGCTGCGGGTCACTTGCCTGGCGGCGCTGCCTGCTGGCAGTGGCCGCAGGCTCGGGGCTCTTCTGGCGCTGCTGCTTGGCGCTTTTCTTTCGGCCCTTGCTGGCGGTAGCCGCGGGCTCATCAGCCTCGCGGCGCCGCTCCTGGCTGGCGGTGGCCGCGGGCGCAGGGCTGGCCTCGCGGCGCCGCTTGTCCTTGTCGCTGGCTCAGACTGCTCCTCGTGGGCGGTGGCCGCAGGGCTTTTCCTGCGGCGCCGCGGCGGCTCTCCAGACTGACCATCCTCGTCACCAGTGGCCGCGGGCTTGTCAGTCTTACCCGACGGCGCTGGTTTGGCTTCAGCTGCACCTTTTTCCTCGCCGCCTGTTTCTTCCTCTTTTGTTTGGCTTGCTGCGGCGGCCGCTGCTGCCGGTCAGGGCTGCCCAGGGCCGCCTCTTTTTGGCGGTACCTGGGTCGAGCTCGGTGGCGTAGGCGGGCTGCTGACGCTGCTGCTGCTCACACTGACCATGGCAGACCGCTTGAACTTGTCTTGAAATGGCTGCGGATAGGAAAAAGCGACCGAAGCCAAGAGACTACCTACCTTGGCACCCTGACCTATGTGTTTCCAAAAAAGTTGGTTTTAGACGCCAAAAAAGTTGATTTTAGTTTGAACAAAGTTGATTTGAAAAATATGCCTTCGAAGAGCATTCCTGGAGCTCCAGCTGTACAATCGCGCTTCTTAAGTAAGTACAAAAGTATGCACCAAATAGGCTCCCGCAGCTACGGCTGCGCAATCGTAACTTTTAAGTATAAAGGTAGCGGACTCCCGCAGCTCCGGTTCGAAATTCGCACTAAGTACAGAAGTAGTTCGCGGAACACATTCCCTCAGCTCTGGCTGAAAGCTCGCAATTTTTATGTGCACAAATAGTCGCGAAAAGCACTCCAGAGCTCCGGCTGCAAAATCGCAAATATAAAGTGCAAAAGTAGTAGCGGAAGTGCGCTCCCGCAGCTCCAGCTTGAAATTCAAAAATCGCAGCTTCTAAGCGCAAAAGTAGTGCACGAAGTGCGCTCCCGCAGCTCCAGCCCGAAATTGGCAAGATTGAAATACAAAAGCCGTACGCGAAGTGCGCTCCCAGAGCTCCGGAGGAAAACTTGCAACTTTTATCTGCAAAAGGAGTGCACTAGTACGTTCCCATGGCTCTGGCGCAAGACTCGCAACTTTTCAGTCCAAAGTTGTACGCGAAGCGCATTCCCGCAGCTCGGGCTGCAAAATCGTAAGTGGCTACGTGCAAACACGGCGCAGTAAGCGCGCTCCCGCAGCTCGACTGAAACGCGACGGAAAGTGCATTCTCGCATCTCCTGTCTGCAGCACGAAACTCACAACTTGTAAGAGCGGAAGCAGTATGCGAGCACACTTCCGCAGCCAAAGCCGCCTCTTTCGCAGCCAAGCTTCGCACAGATATGGACAAGAGAGTTTTTCAAGAGAGCGCAGAGCATCATGCGCAGCATCATGCACTGCGTCGTGCGCAACGTCATGCGACATCATGCGTAACATCACGCGCAACATCACGCACAGCTTCGCGCGCAGCATCAAGCCACAGCATCGCGCGCACGACACGTTGACAGGAGAGATTGCGAAGCATGACGCCAAGCTTGCTCATCAGAACTCGCAGAAGTATGCCTGAGCAGGGACATTGACGTGTTTACGATTTGTTTCTCATCAGGTGGGAGAGGTGTCAAGGTGTATTTCACGTCTTTCTATGCTTCCGGGGCACCTGTCGTCAAGTTAAACCCAATACTATTTGGGGTCTCTTGCCGGGTTAATATCTACTGGAACGGCAACTGGAGACTAGCAAGCGCAAAAGTATTGGCAATAGCTTTGGTGACGAAAATTTCGTTTCTATGATTTTTGGGTTTTGGAAAGGGACGTCTTTAATCAGAGGGGCGCACGCCCCCCGCCCCCTCCCCCCAAAAAACGAAAATAATAAGAGCGGTCTTTTGGCCAAACCTTGCGAGCGCCTTTAAAGTAGAATTGGCGAGGGTTCGGCTGGGAAAGCTGGGCGTCTTCAACTGGAGGAGGTTTATTAGTCATGCGCGGCATTGTGCAGAAAGTTGTCAAGAGATTGTGCGGAGAGATTGTCAAGAGAAATCGCGATTTGAAATTGCTGGAAGAGATTGCCCGGAGGAACTGGGGAGACATGGAAATCAAACGAGCACTTTCGCAGACGTGGCCCATGGCCAGAAACTAAAGAGAAACTCACGCGGTTGAAGGGTTCCGCTTGTCACTGCGCCGCACTTAGGCCAACGCCTCCTGCCTGCCGCCGGGCAGCTGGTTGTTCGGGTTTTTGCCGTCCGAAAACTTGTGGGGCCGCATTGACTGGACCTCAGAAGAAAACCCGGGCATTGGTGCCCCATCCCCCTTTTTAGGATTCTTGGTAACTTCTCAGTTTTTTCTGAACGTTTGTCAAAAACATCATCAAGGTAGAGTCAGCGAGTGACATGGCCAGTCAAAACACATGCCATACACAGTGTCCCAATAAACCCCTTGCATCATGGCTTGTAAGTGGAAACCAAGCCCCGTTTCTGGTAACACCGATGCGTTTGTTCGTTGCGCTGGTCTTCTAAAGTTCCCTTGGAACTCCGACGCTTGAGCGGCGCTCTCCTCCTTGTAGCGCTCTCTGCGAGGCTTTCTCAAAAAACCGGCCCTAGTTGCGGCATCCTATCAGCTCAGCTGCCCAGTAAAGGCTGCTAGTAAGGCTTCTCTAGCAAGGGCTCCCAGCCAAGGCTCCTAAGCCGGGGAAAGCCAAGCAAAGTCTTGGCCGTCGCTAAACGGCATCACGTTTTGCGGCCGTCGCTAACCCCAACGCGGGCAAGAAATTTGCAACCGTCGCTAAACGGCCTTGCGTTTCCTTTGCGTCCAAGCGCCCCGGCGGGCTATTGAGCACACAAAGGACTGCCCCTAAACACACGCTGCAAGAACGCCTCTTTGCCATGAACTGCAACACCGTGTGACTGGACAATTCCAAGGCAGGCCCTCACGGTCAGTTGCTGCGTCAATTCTTGACTGGCTCGGAGGACACCCTGCGCAAACGTCCTGATTGCACACAATACACGGGCCACCCAACCAGCTGACCAACTGACCAACCGACCGGCCAACACAAACGAGCAACCAACATTTCCAGGCAGACAGAGACAAGCAATGGAGAGCCAAACGAAGTTAACAGACCAACGAGCAAGCGTGCCCCGTTGCCAAGCGCGCCTGCATGAGCACGGTCACGCGGCTCAGCGGCGCCACGGCCGTCTTGGACACACAACCAGCCTTAGAACCAAACCCTGGCATTCAAAACCTTCCAAAGGATGTAGGTGTCAATTGCCCTTACTACCAACCCCAGGAAACCAAGTCTGGATACACATGCCTTCTCCAAAGTGGCGATAAAGGTTTCTGTTGCTCTTGCAACCAACACCAGAAACCAAGTATTTTATAAAACCACCTACAGCACTAAACACTTGCGAGTGTTTGCATCGGCCTCACTACCAACCGAGAGAAGCCAGTCACAGGACCCGTTGTTTGAATCTGTAAAGCCGACAAGAGGCTAACGGACCTTCCTTTCACAACTGCAGTGTGGGGCCCAAGACAGTATGGACATATGGTCCGCGGATCGGGGTTACGTTCTAGCGAAAAGACCGAGTTCTCGTCTTGCCCTGCTGAGTCGGTGCTTGCGGTTTTTATAGTGGTAGCGGAGCCCGGTAACATCCGGGCGACCGTGGGGAGGTCTCTTGCCAGGCAACCCCGATCCAAATGGGTACTTCATCCGAAGCTGCCCAGATGCCCGTGCCACCCTCCGATGGTGACACAGAAGAACCCACAGGACGCGCAGAAGCTTCTGACCCTTGGGGACGGGGACGTCTTACCCGAGGACCTGGAGCTGGTGAAGATGCGGAGATGGCTGCTTTCAGACGTTTTCAGCAGTTCCTTCGGCAACAAGATCCTTCACCCGGGAGGAGGACGATCAGACGGAGAACCGACCAGGATGACGATGAGGAAGACGGAGACCACCGTGGAGGATCTTCGGGGCCACCACTCAGTTGGGACGGGACCACCAATTTTGAGGACTACCTCATCAAGGCCCAGCTTTGGCTGGAGTCCTTGTCCGGAACGGCTTTCGAGTCGCTCAAGCACTATGCCAAGGACACTCAGTGGCTTTAGAACGACAAGAACGCGGACATTCTCCTCGGGGACATGAACCGACCAGAAAGGTTCGGAGAAGACCGCCAGGAACACATGCTGACGGCACTCAGTCGAATCACATACCACATGAAGAGGAACAAACAGGAGACATGGCGATACTTCTTTGTCAGATGGGAGTCAGCTATGAGAAAGGTCAAGGAGCACAACATCAAGTTGCCGAGGGCTTCTTGCTGGTGAACCACCTGCAGCTGAACGAGAGCGAGACGAAGGCGCTGCTGAACTTCACCTGCGGGAGCATCAAGTCCGAGGACATCAAGAACTGGCTGCGCAAGTCTGAGAGCAAGCTGTCTGCGAGCGAGTTAGGCAGCGACAAGAAGAAGCCTACCAACTCCATCCTGTTTACCGAGAGGGAGAACGAAGAAGCGGAGGAAGAAGAGGACGGTGACGAGGACCAGGAGGACGTTGCGACCCTCGAGACCTACCTGACCAGGCTCCAGGACAAGGGCGAGATCGATGGCGAGGACTACCTGGACGAGAACGAGGCCGCGGAGATCCTGCACACCACGTTGAACCAGAAGCGCAAAACCGTCTCCTTCAAGCAGTCGCTTCAGAAGAAGAAGGAAAAGGAGTTGGGACGCGGATACGGTTACCAACGCGGACCACCAGGAGCAAAGGCTTTCCAAGCAAACTTCAGGGCCAAGTTCACGATCGAGGAGGTGAAGAAGAGGACCAGACGCAAGGCTTGTAATCAGGTCGGACATTGGCATCGCGATGCTGAATGTCCCAAGCGCCGGGGGGGACAAGCTGCTTCAGGTCATGAAGGGCATCACCTCGAGACCGTGACGGAGACCAACGAAGCCTACTTCCTTGGACTACTTGAGGACGGAGATCAGATGCTCACGCCAGAGTCGACTACTGAGAGCCCAATGAATAGTGACTTTTTCCATCATGCCATTTTGGCCACGGGATCTGACACAGACCCTAAGAAACCGCAGGACTCGTCCGAAGTCCGAGAGTACTACGCGCTCAGTAGCCAGAAGTCTGTGAACCCTTCTTGTGTCGACCTTTTTGGTTTGAGACCGAATGTTCCGATTGAGTGCTTTTACAACCAGGTTTTTGGTAAGAGTGGGTCAGTGGACGACCAACTATAGACACTGGATGTCAGAGGCTCGCGGTCGGATCCAACACCCTTGAGAAGTACGCGGCCAAACTGCCACCACCTCTTCGAGTTACTCTTCACTCTGAGATCAATCGGTTTCGCAGTATTCATGGAATTTCCACTTCCCATCATGTTGCATCGGTGCCGACGAGCCTAGGAACCAAGGGAGCCTTTCTACGGCCTGCAGTACTCAAAGAAGGACTGAGTCAAGATGCTCCTTTTCTCATTTCTCTTTCATTTCTGAACCACTGCAAGGCCATGATTTGTCTTGTCAACGACCAAGGAATGACACTTCGTTTGCGGGGAACAACCATACCATGTCATTTAGGGCCAACTGGAGCTCTTCGGGTACCTTTGCAGGAGTTTTCTTCAACATGGGTGACGCATCTCGCAACAGCACAACAGAGTACCGAAACTATGCCCACTTCCATGTTCGAGGTTCTAAACATTCAGCAATGCGATGAGAGGCTATTTGGTTCCAGGAGTTCTAGACCAGTTGAACAGAGCCCTGCCCGGGCTTCTCAGTCGCATCATGGACCTGGACTTCCTCAAGACGCTCCGGGACAAGGTGGATGCGCAGATTCGGAAACAGGAAGGTGCTCAGGCGATGTCAGACGACGAGTACAGCTTGATCACCGAGACATCGGTCGATCACGAACCAGACCACTTGCTTCATCCGGAGAGCCACGTGGGCAACTTGGACAAGATCGACGGGTACCAGGTACTTTTTGGAGAACCTCCACTATGCCATTGCCGAGAACCTTGCAAACTCTGGATGTGTCGGAAGACCGGGATGAACTTCGAGAAGACGTTCTTTCGGTGCCCCCAGAAGATCAACCACCAATGCCGGTTCTTCAAGTGGACCGTGAACCAGCCGTTCCACGACCTTGAAGGGCATGATTCAGGAGAAGATCAACCAGCAGGAGGACGGCACCTACACGATCAAGAAGGTTCACAAGAACAGCAAACCGACCTCGAAGCTCCAGACGACGATCGTGGACGAGACCTACGGCAAGAGCGACTTCGAGGAGTTCCTGAAGTTCAAGGAATGGCAACAGAAGAGCCAGAAGAAGTGAGAGAAGGTCGATGCGATCTCGCAGCTAAGCATCGCCGAAAGATCAAGGCCGCATTACAGAAAACCATTGCGTTCTGGAAACAGATCCGGCTTATGTTTCAAGACTACTGCAATGAGGAGGGCAAGTTTGCATGGGTTGAATATTTTCGGCGATGGAATGCTACGCTGTGCAGCGAACTTGCAGTTCATCCGAGCGGGACCAGGGAAACCAGAGCCATCGCAGATGCCATGGGTTTGACCCACAACCAGTTGCTTAAGGTTGCGGAGATTTATAATCCTGGACGTTTTCAAAGACAAGCCGAGGCCTGTGGACTCCATGGGGGAAGAGCATTTGATCTTGAACTAGGAACCGATTTGCTCAAGGAGGAAAAACGTCAAGAAGTTCGTAACTACACTCAAGCAGAAAGGCCAGGACTTGTTATCATTTCCCCACCATGTCGGATGTACTCTGCGCTTCAGAATCTCTTGAAAGATTATCGGGACAGAAATGAAGAAGCCATGAAACGATTCATCACCAATCGTCGGGAAGCTCAAGGTTTGTTCAACTTTGCTGCGGAAATGTGTGAGATGCGCTTGGACCTTGGCTTAAGTTTTGTATTTGAGCATCCGGCGACCGCCAGCTCATGGAGAACGAAACCGATGCAGAAACTGGCCTCCAGGAATCTAGTGATCAGGGTCACCGTGGGCCAGTGTGCTTTTAATCTACGAGGAGCCGGAAATCAACCGGAATTTTGACCAACAACTCCGTGATTGCCCAGGCCGTGAACAAGAGATGCTCAAAAGATCACATACATAAGGTCATCATCGGAGGGAACAAGTCCGCTAAGTCTCAGGTGTACCCCAACGAGCTGATCTCCACCATCCTAAGGGCGTACAAGAAATCGCTCGGTCTGGAGGAGGTCTACCACACGACCTGGGAAACCATCGACTTTGAAAACAACAAGATAGACAAAGTCTATGCTGAATACTGGGTCGAGGGAGTTCAGCAGAGCACACGGCCGGATTGTGAATGCCATCCAGTTGATGAGATTTCCGGAGACCTTGGAGATATGGAAGTCGAACCGCCGCGACAGAACGAAGACTCGGAACCAGACAAGCCGATACAATCTCATGAGCCAGAAAAATCACAGGCACAACAGGGTGGACGTAAGCTTCCTCTACAGGACCGTTTTACATTGCGGAGATTACTGCAACGAGCTCATGAGGGCCTCGGACATCCTCACCAAGACAGATTTCTCACAATCTTGAGGTATGCGAATGCCAGTCCGGAAGTGGTCGAGGAGGCGAAGAAACTCAAATGCAGCGTTTGCATTCGACACCAACAGGTCAGGCCAGCTCGCAGGGCCGCGCCACCAAGAGAACTGGAAGCAAACGAATGCGTGGGAGTCGATATCATCTACCTGCCAACTATCGGGCCAAAAGACTCCAATCGAACCAGGCCAGCGCTGAATATCATTGACTGGGCTACGAAGTTTCAGATGGTCATTCCCCTGAACTCCAAGAAGCCTGAAGAAGCTCGAACCGCCTACAGGCACTGGCTGAGATTTTTCGGAGCACCCAAAACTTTGATGATAGATCTCGGCAAGGAGTTTCGAGGAATCTTTTCACAGAGAGCTCAGACGGATGGAAGCTGTGTGGAACCTGCGTCAGTGGAAGCCCCTTTTCAGCGAGCAATAACTGAACGGCACGGCAGGACCATCAAATTCATGCTGCGAAAGGCCATGGATGAGTTCAATTGCGAGAACATGAAGGATTGGGAAGATGTGGTTGATGTGGTTGGTATGATGAAGAATCGGTTGATGCTGAAAAATGGCTTTTCCCCAATTCAGAGAGTGATTGGCTACATGCCCAGAATTCCTGGAGGACTTCTCACCGGCGATGCCGGAAATGAAGCTT